GAAAAGGCAACGGGAAAGAAGTCAAAGCAATTCACAGATAGTAAAGAAAAGGGATCTGTGGAGATCCATTATCGCTTACGTCGTTGGTGTAGAAAGACTACTTGATATTCCAAACTTCGGAAAAATCAGCAAGAAACCATTCCACTATCTTTCCCAAGAAATCATGAAAATTCACAGATTATAAAGGAAAGGAGTCATTGGAGATCTATTGCCGTCTTACGTTCCGGAAAGAACATGGTATTCAAAAAAAAAAGTGTGGGAAAAAGGTGGGGTAAAACTCTTAGGAAGTAAGCTGTTCTTTGTTAGATTAAAATTAACGAAAGAAGAATTATAGTCTTCTGATTACTGACAGAACGTTTACATTTTATCAAAAGGGGCGTAGTATATTTAACGGTGAAACACGTTGCAAGCGGAAGTAATAATTTTTATGCTGAACAAGGAAAGAGAGAGAGAGACAGACAAACAGACAGAGAAAGATAAAGAAAGAATTAACATGCTTGTGAGATGTTATCAGACGCGTCACATCACTTTAAATATCTTAAAGAACAGTGATATTTTTTCAACATGACATATATTACATATGCTTTCGTTCATATACAGGTTGCGATGTATAAATTGTCGTCTAAATAACGCAAAATTGAACATAACACTGACATTTCATTTTAACAGATATAGTTACCAAAATTACATAAAAATATCTCGAAATACTAAAAGAGTAAATATATTCAATAAAATCGCCATTGGCTTCAACCACGGTCTCTAGACGATTTCGAAATCACCTGCAACTCTTCTGGACGGTCTCCTTGTTTAAGTTGCTCAATGCTGCCATAATCCTTTCCTTCAGTTCATATTTGGTGTTACAAAGAGTTTTGTTGGTCTCTCGCTCAACTGCGCCCCACACATAATAATCAAGGGAGTTGCCGTCTGGGGAATTAGGTGGCCAGATGTAAGGGGTGATGTAGTCGCAGAAATTGTCTGACAGCCATGACTGGGTTCTCCTGCTTGTTTGGCATGGCGCAGAGTCCTGATGCCAGACATAGGTTCTTCCAACGGCCACCCTCTTGACCCAGGAGAGCACTACCTCCTCAAGGTCTTGGTGTGGTGTCTGAGGCCCTGTGAGAAGATGAATGGAGGCATAACGTCGCTATCACTAGTGATCACTCGAAACACCTTCTCTTTCGGGGAGGTAAACCGACCCTGAACCCGTTTATACGGGTTCAATGGGCATATTTTTGGCCGAGCTCACGGGCTCGGAGATCCTACGTTAAACCGGCCTTGTGTCACATGATGATCTCGTGGTAGGGTGACTAAATATCGTTGGTCAGTCAGTTAATGTCGGACGACTGTTAGTCGGATACTAAAAGTATCAGCGACCACCACTAGATTTCTCTGCGTCATTACCTATTACATCAAGTTTCTAACGTTTTCTACGTCGAACCTATTTTAGGACCGACTTAGTACAAATACAAGCCTCCACTGTGAAACCACTCTACAACACAAAGCGAGCAAGAATGGCCCACATTGCTGGTCTTAGGACTTTCTCGAAGGTCTTCTGGAGATCCCTGAAGATGAACAATGGTTTTGCTGCTCACGACGCTTCACCTAGAGCTGTCGCACACAGAAGACCATGTGATTCTCGAAGGCCGGAAACCACATTGGTAGAAATCGTCGATGAATTTTCCTACCTTGGCAGGATCATCTTGAATAATGTCATCTGCGAGAGAGACCTTGACAACGGGATCAAAGCAGCTCATATTGTGTACGAAACGCTATTAGATCGGTTCTTAAGCAATCACGGCCTCGCCATAAAAACCAAAATTATGGTCTTCCGGGTCGTGGACCTCTCCACCGTTTTGTATGCATGCGAGGCATCGACTTTGTATTGTCGGGGCATCAAACGTCTAGAACAGTTTCAGAATCTTCGAGGAATCCTTCGCATCAGTTGGGAGGACCGCATCACCAACACTGAGATCCTCTCTCGTGCATATCGCCACAACATCGAGGCTAACAACCTTCAAAATCGCCTCCGCTTGGCGAGTCCCGTGTCTAGAATGTGTCCCACTCAACTTCTATGTATCAAAGATGAGGATATTAGTCTAAATGTAAAGAATGATAACTCCTCATCCCAGAAATTCAGACAGAAGGCGATCAGATGATAATAACAACAAAGATGAGGATATTAGACTGAATGTAAATAATGATAACTCCTCATCCCAGAAATTCAGACAGAAGGCAATTCGGGGATAAGAAGAACAAAGATGAGGATATTAGCCTGAATGTAAATAATGATAACTCCCCCTCCCTGAAATTCAGTCAAAAGGCGATCAGGTGATAGTTGGACATAGACTTTGTATTGTCGGGACATCAAACGACCGGAATGGTTCCAGCAAACGAAGCCCCCAAGAATCCTTCGCATCAGTTGGGAAGACCGCATCACCAACATGATCCTCTCACGGACATATCTCCCCAGCATCGAGACTACCATCCTTCAACATCGCCTCCGCAGGGCAAGTCACGTGTCCAGTATGCGTCCCACTCGACACCCACGGATCATCCTGGTTGGAGAACTCGCCAGCGGCAAGACGCTACGTGGTGACCCAAAACGACGCATCAAGGACCAGTTGAAAATATCCCTGACACAGGGTAACATCGACCCTGATACGTGGGAAACCGTTGCTGCAAATCGGCTTTTCTAGTTTAGGACCATCCGAAGGCGTGGGGTTGGGATCGAAACTTTCGAGTCAACCATCAACATGTAGATGATCTCCGACGTGCTGTCAGAAGGGCCTGACTCTCTCAGTCGCGTCCACTATCCACACTCCTCTGTGACTTCTGCTCACGCCTCTTCAGGAGTAAGCTGGGCTTTCACAGCTATCTCTCTCACCGCCACCAGAGGGGGAGAGAAAGTGGAATAAAGAGAGAGGATGAAGAACGATTAGACAGATAGTAGTTCTACAGAAGGATGCTGAGGATACCATGGACCGAATATGTGAGCAACGACAAGGTTTTAGAGAAAATGGAAACAAAAAGGAAACTTATACTTAATATCAGGAAGAAACAGTTGAAAGTTCTGGGCACGTAATAAGGAAAGAGGGCTTGGAAAATCTGATACTCAGAGGACAGATTGAGGGCAAGACGGACAGATGAAAACAGCGCATAACATACTTGATGGGCTTGAGTAAATAGCGTTTAGGAGAAATAGCAAAAAGACAAAATTTATTAAGCGCAACAAAGGATAGGAAATTGTGGAGGGCCACGATCGCTTACGTCCTGAGAGGGATACGGCACATCAAAAAGATATTTGGAGATAATGATTGATTTATTGGTCTTTTTGATTATCAATTTTTTGCAGGTTTTTGCTTACACTCAAATACCGATGAATAGACCGGTTTTCGTTCGATCACCGAAGTTAAGCATCGTTGAGCCAGGTCAGTACCTAAAAGAGGAACCGCTTGGGAACACCTGGTACTGTAAGCAAACCCCTACTGCCGGCGTCCTGGGTAAGATCATAAACTACAGCCAGCAGCAAGGCCTCTGTTCAGGAAGTTTTGAGGAGCGTGGAACGACCTCTTAATTGCTGGTGTTCTCAGGTCCACACTGACCCTGGATGGTAGCAACTGTTAGGGTCCAAAATTCTGAGACAGTATCGGCTACACCAGCCACACATCCAAGCTTACAGCATATGGTATTCCTAAACAATCACCCATTGAGGTACTGACCAGACTCGAAGTTACTTAACTTTGGTGGTCGTATGAGAACTGATGTTTCAACGTGATGTGGCCATAAACATTCTGGAGCTGTATACTAATAGTCGATGTGCACATTTTGCTGTCGAATTTTGCTTTGATGAGATAAAAACTGATGAACCAGTTTAGCTGTTTTAGATCGGTATTATATTTCTTTCTTTCTTTCTTCCTTCTTTCATTCCTTCCTTTCTTTCTTTTTTCTTTCTTTTTTCTTTCCCTCTTTCCTTTCTCTCTTTCTCTTCCTTTTTTCTTTCTTTTTTTCTTTCTTTCTTTCTTCTTTCTTTACTTCTTTCTTTCTTTCTTCTTTCATTCCTTCTTTTTTCTTTCTTTCCTTCTTTTTTATTTCCCTCTTTCCTTTCTTTCTTTCTCTTCCTTTTTTCTTTCTTTCTTTCTTTCTTTCTTTCTCACCTTACCGTGGCCGATCTCTCCCTGCTCTCTTTCTCTCAAATCTCTCTTTCGAGAGTGCAGCTCGCTTTCTGTCTCTGTCGCCTTGCTGTGGCCGTTATTGATTATTGATCTTAAAAATACGATGTTCATTAACTTTAATTCTTTCTAACACTATCTGACTCTCTCTCTCTCTCTCTTTCTCTCTCTCTCTCTCTCTCTTTCTCTCATCGGTTGTTTTAAATAACCCTTCGTATTTCGTTCATTTTAATTTTTATCTTGAAAAATATCCCAGATAACCCTCTCGTTTCATTTCCTCCCCGCCCATTTTCTCCGGACGTGGCTCTCCCTATATCCCTCTCTTTTTTCTTGTTCTACATCTAAAGACAAAGCTGTCTTTATCTGAGTCGTTAATAAAACTAAGCAATGGGAATTTGCTTCCCGCCTTGTTCACATATAACAAAAGATGAATTCGGAGCAGTAAATACTCATTGATAACAAGACTGGATTCTCGAGTCGACGGCCGACCCGATGTTATCTGAGCGTCTTCGTCTGGTTTTCACAGAGCCACGAGATGTCCGTGGAACGCCTTACTGAGATTCCTCAGTCAAACGATTCTTTATACGCAGCGACACGCAATATACGAAAGCATGCATAAAGGTTCTCGACTCGACGCATTTCCCGAACTTCTGACGGAATAACCTAACAGTTTTAGAAACGGCTTCGGTATGGCCTCTGTATACCGGACAGTGGTAACAATTTATCGGTTGCCTATTAATTGTCTGTTATTTAACGAAAAATTAAATTAAATTTCCCGTGTCAAGCCTTTTTTTGTAAAACAAGAAAATGCTTATTTTTGACAGTCTTAAGACTATATCATGCTGAAACTCCAATTCTCGTACGTTCACCGGAGTTAAGCACCATTGAGCCTGGTCAGCAACTAGATGGGTGATAACTTGGGAATACCAGGTGCTGTAAGCTTGGATTCTCGGATAGTATAAAGGGCTTACGGCCACTTCACGTTGAAACTCCGGTTCACGTACGATCACCGAAGTTAAGCAAGGTCGATCCTTGTCAATACCTAGATGGGTGAATTTTGGAAATACCTGGTGCTGTAAGCTTGGGTGCTCGGGTGGTGTAGTGGGTAATGGTTCTGAATTGTTAATCGGAGAGCCGAGTTTTAATTCTAGGTAAGTTCATTTTATTTACTTATGCGCAAACATCCTTGGGAAAGGTAAGACTCCACCTCTTACCCCGCTTCCTCTGGCTTAATTAATTAAAATTTATTTACATTATTCGGACTATTGTTCTAGTCTTTGTCGCCATATTTATTACAACGTTTCGACCGTTGTACGCTCCGGCCTTCTTCGGGTGGTTGGAATGTCGAACTGAACCCTTTATTTCGCTCACTGGGATAGACTGTTCTAGTTCCACGTGCCATGTTTAATGGATGTCAGTTATCAGTTATCTCCTGGGTAATTTCCCTCTGCCAGATCTCCACTGCCTTAACCAGGTATTGAACTCACACTCTTTGGGTCCTGTGACAGGACCCAAAGAGTGTGAGTGTAGAGGGGAATTAACAGGAGATAACTGATAACTGACATCCATTAAACATGGCACGTGGAACTAGAACAGTCTACCCCAGTGAGCGAAATAAAGGGTTCAATTCGACATTCCAACCACCTGAAGAAGGCCGGACCGTACAACGGCCGAAACTTTGTAATAAATATAGCGACAAAGATGAGGACAATAGTCCGAATAATGTAAATAGTGTACATAATACCTCATCTCAGAAATATAGACAGATACTGAAGGGCCGAAACGTTGTGATAAATATGTCGACAAAAATGAGTACAATAGTCCGAATAATGTAAATAGTGTACATAATACCTCATCTTAGAAATATAGACAGATACTGAAGGGCCGAAACGTTGAAATAAATAAGGCGATAAAGATGAGGACAATAGTCCGAGTAATGTAAATAGTGTACATAATACCTCATCTCAGAAACATAGACAGATACTGAAAGGCCGAAACGTTGTAATAAATATGGCGATAAAGATGAGGTCCGAAGAATGTAAATACTGAACCCGTGGTATGTTTTTCAGGCACATTCCAAAAGGTGCTGTACGCTGGGATCGCCACCTCAAGAACGATAACATCGTCACCTTTCTGACAAATCCACTATGGCAAGATTCGAACCCGGGTCTCATGGTCACGTGCCCATTCCAAATTATAACTTCAACAAAAGTACAGCATTAAAAAAACACATATCACCACCTCTGGTAATCCTATCCCCACAAACATTTATATGCACAAAATCTGAGTATCATCTACCATGTACTCAACTGTGAAAGGAGAATAACATTTTTATTACTTTATATCTCTAAGAAAATCAAAATTTTCCATTAAATGATGTGCCGTTCAACAAATCAATCAATCAATTATAGCGTTACAATCGTAGAAAACAGAACAATGGGAAGAAATATCTGAAATCAACGTCTTTTATGTGTCATTTCATTTCAAGGCGTAGGCGATCATGGCACTCCTCGACTGTTTTACGTTTTGTTGCTTCAATTAAGCTTTACCATATGGATGTCATTCATGGCTGCAAAGATGTTCAGGGCTGTCTAAACTTCCAGGTGTATGCAACCGTTTTTTTTTTCCAGATCAATAGTGTCCATAATATATCTTATTCATATAATCAGTTAAAAGCTTTTCACATTAAATGTTGTCCTAGTTTTATTGCATATTTTTATTTTACGTTTAACATAAAAAAAATTCAGTAACTCTGGGTCCTGTTTTACAGAAACAAATTGGTGATTTAAATTCTCCAAGGACTTCTGCTTTTAACTAATATAAACATTAAGCTCTACAAAATTTGTTTTCTCGAAATTTCACAAAATTAAATTAATGGTATGTGTGTGTGTGGGGGGGGGTTATAGATGTAATAAAATTACTATGATTTTCTAAAAAAACATTTCTAAAACAATTTCATTCATTTGTGAATAAATCCTGAAAGTTTCGTTAAAATCCAACAATTTTTTAAATTTTTGCGAGAATTTCCAAATCGATGTGCTTTTCACTGCAAAAAAAAAAAAAAAAAAAAGACGCTAAAATTTCCTATGCTAATCTTTGCACTACTCCGCTGGTAACGAAACGAAAAAAAAAACCCCCCAAAAAACAAGATTTTAACCAAAGTTATGAATGTTCTAAAAAGGATAAAAATATAATTTAATAATCAAAAATCCTTTCTTTTTAATAATAACATAAATATTTTGACGATGAAAATTTGTTTATATTAAGTTTGGGGCATTTTTTCATCATGGTGTGCAAATTTTTTAGGGTATCATTGGTGGTACCTACTTACAATAATGCCAGACATGTTCTGGTAAAAAAAAAATGTCTAGCACGACCGAGTGAATCAACTTTCCGAGCAGCAGAGCTAGAAACTGATTTTGTATAATTATTCAGATTCATGTCAGTCGAAAACATTAAACCGACAAAGCGGATGTTGTTAAATATTATGTCCGCCCATTATAAATTGTAACCCATGTCTCATTGGTTGAATTACTTTGTTGTTTTTTTAAGCATTTCCTCTGAACTTGGGTTTTTACGAGTGTACGTTCTTTACTGACACGCTTAGTAAAGGGTCTATATTTTTTGGCTCTTCTGAATGGCGAGAAGACACAAAGATCTGTAGTCTTTAAAGGAATTGTCCAACTGGGCAGTGAAGGAAAGCACTGAACAAACCTTGTCTGCGTCTCGTGTCGAGAGATAACAAACTGAAAAAGGCCAGTGTCTGCGGGGATAGGGCATAACGCTATTGATAGTAAAAAATAAGGCAACGCTAGTCTGCCATATTTCCCATTTCATACAGTCTGAGTATTGCGAACAAGACTCTTCTTTTAGCATAAAGTTATTCGACCCAAAGACAAAAATGCTTGGGATTTCAGAGTTATATAGAATTATAACCACCTGATATGGTTTTACGTTGAGATGACACGCTCTCTCGCTCTCTCTCTCTACATATATATATATATATATATATATATATATATATATATATATATATATTCATACACGTTTCATTAAATAATATAGACAAGTGTTGTCTATCTATTTTATGTAAATTTTTTCGTAACGTCTAATATGTTTAATAACATTATCGTTGAACGAAGAAAGAAATTCACAATATTGATCCATATTTTTTTTTAATACAATCTAAGCTTTCGGCTTAAATAAGCTATTATCAAAGATGTCAATTACAACATAATATACAGACAAGACAGTGATGATAGTCTGTCAATGTTTACATAGATGATTTCTAAGCAACGATAAACACGTGCATATAAGACGCTAGAAGCGAAAATTGCACCGCATCTCATGACGTCACACACGACCACACGAGAATTCTGTATGAATGAAAAGATGCTGCCTAAATACACACAATATATATATATATATATATATATATATATATATATATATATATATATATATATATATAGAGAGAGAGAGAATTTATTTCAACGTAAAACCATATCAGTTGGTTATAATTATATATCATATACCAAAACAGTATATACAGTTTAAAAACTACAAAATTTTTTTTTTTTTTTCTTTTCTCAATAATTTTGTAGTTTTTAAACTTAATAGTGATTAAATTTAGATTTTAAAATTGCCAGTTTTTAATTTTAATATTAAATTTTATCATATAATTTTATAATTATTAGTTAGTATAAATTATTTTTAATATTACACGTATTTAAAAGATCTGAATAGCTATTATAGCAGGATTTCGTTGTCAAGCTTTTGAATCTTTCTATACTTCGTTTTTGATTGGTTATTCTAGCTTTTGTAACAATGTTTTTCCCTAGTGTAGGATCGTTAAATAATCTGAAACTTTTAAAACCATTTATTTTATTTTCAACATCATCACTTGATAAGACACAGAGTGTGTTGAAACAAAATGGCTATTTTTGTAGTGATTTTATAACATATTTATGTTATAAATTTTTTATAAAAAAATAATTATATATATATATATATATATATATATATATATATATATATATATATATATATTGATAATAGATTAAATATTCGTTAATTTTTATGTTTATATTAAATTTGTAACCTGTAGTTGATATTACTTTTGTCAAATTTTCTTGATTGCGCAGCGGTTCTTTTATAAATGCCTTTCGGCTTTAGCTGCCCCCATCTTCCCCCCTTTTTTCTTTTCTTTTCTCTCTCTCATCTTCTGAATTTTAATTTTAGATTATATCGTCTTTTATTGTGCGTAGTGTCACCACAAATGTTTACACCCGTTTCCGGTATCGGTTTTTAATTTAATTTCGGTCAGCGATTCAGTAATGAATTATGCATCGGGAAATAATTCATATTTAACTGTTTCTCACTCATTTAAACCCTCATTTAACTCCTCTCTTTAAAACTTCTCTCTGTTAAATTTTAATCCCCACCTTCAATTTTAGGCCTTCCTGTTCTTCTTTCGTCTGTTACCCCTCTCTATAGCTTTCATTTACCTCTCACATTCGTTCCCCACTCTCATACATACACTCTCACTAAATTTTATTTTTTATTCCCAGAGTTATTTTTTCCGATTTCTTTTTGAATTTGTAGGTCTGATGAATTGGATCGTAATTACGGTTCCAATGTAATCAATTATAACCACTTAATATTAGTGTTTAAGCCTTTTTATTATATATATATATATATACAAAATGTACATTATATTTAGTGAATCTGTGCAGGTGTTGAAAAAAAGCGAAGGAGAAAAATAGGTATCTGTGGGAAGAAAACAAAAGGCTCTGAGTATTGTTTGCAGAATTTATTTTGTCACCAATATATGATGACATGGCCGTGTTTGTGGAGGGTGTGCATTAAATGGCACAAAGACATGCAAGTCATTCGCACACAATAGGTTTATACATAACATACGCACACGCAATGTGTGACAGACTGAGAATCACATTTTATCCTCAACTTTATAATTTCTTTGCTCAGCCTAATGTAGGGGTTGTCCAGACTTATTGGGAAGTAAAAGTATTATTTCAATATCCTATTTTAAACGAAGTCAAACACATGGGCTTACGGCAACATCACGTTGAAACACTGATCCCGTACGACCACTGAAGTTAAGCAAAACTGAGCTTGGTTAGTATCTAGATGGGTGACCGTTTGGGAATACCAAGTGCTGAAAGCTCGGATGTGCGGGTGGTGTAATGGATAATGCCTCGGAATTGTTAATCGGAGAGCTGAATTCCAATTCTCATTGGGTTTGTTATATTCACTTATGTGTAAATACCCTTAGGAAAGTTATGAATTCATCTCTTCCACCCAGTTATGGGTTAATTAGTAAGGCGACTCGTATCACTAAGCCATTATTATCTAAAAAAAAAGAAAACTTCTTACAATCTTAAAATAATTTCTGGCTTTAAATAACCTGCAAAAGGGTGATAAGCCGTAAAAATGAATCAATCAGTTGTGTGTGTGTGTGTGTACATTAAATGGCACAAAGACATGTAAGTCATTCGCACACAACACAGACATACGTTTATACATTACATACGTACACGCAATATCATACGCAATGTGTGACAGAGAATCTCATTTTTGGGGGCTGCTAACACATAACATTCATTTGTGTATTAAAATTTTGTGGCAAAATCAATAACAAACCCAAAACCCAAGATCAGACCTCAGACCTGTTTACCTTTCAGTCTTCTGCTCTACCATTGAGTCATAAAATAATTGTATTCATATGTTTGATCTGACCAGATTACAATATACGTAGGGACAATTGCCTAGTGGATTGACGCGTTGGTTCGTTAATTTCGTGACAGTGGTTGCGAGTTCAATCCCAGAGTCAGGCAGTTACTAGTCTTACTTGTACTTTTTCGGTGAAATGTCCGTTGGCCAAATGTCTCTCTGCCAGATGTCCGTTCGACCAAATGTCTCTTGACCAAATGTCTTTTCGGTAAAATGTCTCGCAGCCAAATGTCCGTTCGGCCAAATGTCTCTTGACCAAATATCCGTTCGGTCAAATGTCTCTTGACCAAATATCCGTTCGATCAAATGTCTCTCGGCTAAATGTCCGTCAGCCAAATGTCCGTTCGATCAAATGTCTCTCGGCCAAATGTCTTTTCGGCCAAATGTCTCTTGACCAAATATCCGTTCGGTCAAATGTCTCTCGGCTAAATGTCCGTCAGCCAAATGTCCGTTCGCTCAAATGTCTCTCGGCCAAATGTCTTTTCGGCCAAATGTCTCTTGACCAAATATCCGTTCGATCAAATGTCTCTCGGCTAAATGTCCGTCAGCCAAATGTCCGTTCGATCAAATGTCTCTCGGCCAAATGTCTTTTCGGCCAAAAGTCTCTTGACCAAATGTCCGTTCGCTCAAATGTCCGTTCGGTCAAATGTCCGTTCGGCCAAATGTCTTTTCGGCTAAATGTCTCTTGGTCAAATATCCGGACACGGTCGATCCGGGTACCTTTCATGGAATTTCGAATTGAATATTTTTATCTAATCTGTGGGTTCGAATTCCCTATGTCGCCATATCATATAATAAATATGCTTGTCCATCTCTTTGTTGGTTTGCACAACGATTACGCCCTGCAAATACCTATGGACTATTCCGTTTTGATCGCATGGAAAGACAAGCCATATCAGAAGCACTACTTGGTTTCAGTGAAAAGAAAGAAAGAAAGAAGAAAGATTGAAGTTTTTAACATTTCTTGCCAATATCTCATAAATAATGGACTATTCCGTTTCGAACGCACGTAGAAAGAGGGAAAAATACACTACTTGGTTTCCGTGAGAAAATGAATGAGAGAAAGAAGGGAAGATATAAGTGTTTAACGTCTCCTTTAAATGCCTCATAAATAATGGACTATTCCGTTTCGATCGCATGAGAAGACAAAATATGCCCAAGACGTTACTCGGTTTCAGTGTGAAAATGAAAGAAGGAATGGAAAGAAGAATTTAACGTCTGCTTCAGTGAAATGGAAAAAATTGTCAATTTCAAATCGTTTCATTTGTACCCCATTACTTCTTAAAATAACGACAAGCATTCATATTTATGATTGTTATTGCAACATTTTGTTAAAGTTGTTAAGCTCAAATATTTAACGATATGACAGAATTTCGACGGATATTTCATAGTTGTAAAACTCGCCATCGGCCTATACAATCATTAACTGAAGAATTAAGATTCATCATAAATTTCAAATAGGAAAACCGTGAAAATTTCACCCCTTCCCCGTCAATTATTTTGGGAAAAAGGTTTCATATTCAGACAATTTTTTAAATTTGTTTTTAATACAGTAACTAAGAAACTGAGACCACTTGAAGTACCCTAGTAGTGACTAACACCTCTACCAGACGTACGAGTTGACAATTGAACTCTTTTCAAGATCAGAAGGGCATAATAAAAAAAAATCAAGATAAAAACGTTTGCAGCTGGTTTGAGAACGTTATGTTTTGCACGTGTTTATTCGTCCCTGTCTGAAAAAGACACTTTCGGTAAAAACGTATAGACACCCCTACGACGTGGGTGGAGTGAATAACAGTAGTATTAATAATTCATATACCAACGCATTAACCCACTCGGTAATTATTCTTCTGTCTTACCTGCTGCTGAGGCTGATGTTGCTGTCACACTTGACTGCATTCACCGCCGTTTCTCTTATAATGACTGCTGGGACCGTTGGATTTTTTCTTTTTATTTGTCTATTAACGGCTCACATAGAGTATTTTGTTGAATGGTTATTGCGTCAAAAAACCTCAACCGAGCACAAATAATGTTCCCGTGGCTTTCGATGTACCAGCCAACGCTTTTTTCCTAATATTACTGAAATGGGATCTTATATAACATTGAATACGGTAGAAAGAAAGAAAGAAAAGTAAATTAATAATATTAATTCCTTTTTAAACACAGAAAGGAAATTTCAAGAATTCCTGCAGGAGGTAGAGAAGGAAAGCGAGAAGAAAGGATTAATATCAATTGCAAGAAGATAAAATGCATAGTTATTAGCAAAAGGGGCAGGCCAACATGCAAATTACAAATTGGGACGCCAAATCAAACAATTACAACAATTTAAATACCTGTTTTAACAGAGGACGGAAAGTGCGACACTGAAATCCGAAGGTGCATCGAAATAGAGAAAAATACCTTTCAAAAGATAAGCAAAACATTAAGAAACAGGAAAATTTCGTTAAAAACAGAGGGAAGAGTAATGAACTGTTATGTCCACCTATATGTTAGTGAATGCTGGACAATCTCTTCACAGTTGAAGTAAAGACTTGAAGCAACAAAAATTTGGTTCTACAGAAGGATGCTGTGAGTATCCTTGACTGAAGAGGAAAGAGGGCTTGGAAAATTTGACACTCACAGGACATATTAAAGTCAAGAGGGACAGAGGAAAACATCGCATAACGAACCTAACGAGCTAAATCGTTATCAGAACAGGGATTAGGAGAGATCTCAAAATGACATAATTTACTACAAAGGACCGGAAATTGCAGACAGTCTGAAGAAAGAGGAGGAGTTGGAACAACAATAAGAAGAAATTGATAAAAATATGTTGGCCCATGAACGTGCTTTGAGGTACAATAGCCAATATCAAAAGTTTCGTGTTAATAGTCTCTTCTCTCGCACTTGTCGAACTTTCTGGTGGATTCTTGCTTCCCAGTTAACTTTGATCTTCAAAAATTTAAATGCAATGTCAATCGTTATCTGTCTTCTTAATTCTTATTCATTTATTGTACTCTCTTCTTAATGGTAGTTTTTCTCCTATTCTCTAACACTAAGTAACCTCTTGCGTCCCAGTGGCTCTATTCCCTTCCTTGGGGTGAAAGGATTTTTAAAAAATTAACCAGTATCTCTTTACCCAGTGGATGCCCTGAAGACAAGATGTGTTTCATTCCCCATTCCGTAAAAGAACTTTTCAGTCTTTAGAGAACCACATGTTGTATTGAGCATAACATCTCTTGCCCTTTTTCGCTTGTGCAGCTCACTTCCGGATTCTTGTTTCCGAGCCAACTTTGATCTTCAAAAATTTCAATGCAATGTCAATTGCTATCTTGTCTTCTTAATTCTTCATCTTTTATTGTCCTTTCCTTTCACTAAAGTCTTCAAATTCTCTTTCACTCTTCTTACTTTCCAGTTTAATCTTAAAAATTAAATGCAATATCAATCATTATCTGTCTTAATTCTTATTCCTTTATTGTCCCTTCTACTTAATAGTAGTTTTTTCACATATTCTCTAGCACTCAGTAACGCCTTTCGTCCTAGTGGCTTTATTACCTTGCTAGAGGTGAAAGTATTTAAAAAAAAAGAAGCAGTGTCTCTCTAGGCACTGGATGCCCTAGAGACGAGACGTATTTCATTCTCCACTCCCCAAGGGGACTTTTCAGTCTGTAGCGAACCACATCTTGCATTGAACATAACATCTCGCTTGTGGAACTCTCTTCTGGCTTCTTGCTTTGGAAAACTTGATCTTCAAAAAGTTAGATGCAATGTCTATCGATATCATCCATCTTGATTTTTGATCTTTTATTGTCTCCTCTCCTTAATATTAGTTATAACAATTTTGCGTCCTAGAGGCTTTATTGTCTTTCTTGGGGTGAAATGATTCAGAAAACATTCAACCAAAGAGCCTCATCAGAGATAATAACAATAACTAGCGTCTTTTCCAGATTATCCAGATCGCTTAATCTAACGTGTTTGTCATAAATAAACGTCCGTCTGTTTCATATGCTGATAACTGATGATATGGCTGACACTAACAAAAATGGCGGACATTTTACAAGTGACGTCATCACTGACAGTTTCGTTTCTTTGCAAAACCATTAAATGCAAAAGGCGTTGATTACGGGCGTTGAAAGGTATCGGCGTTTGGTTTAATCTGTTTTTATATTATGTTTTGTGTTGAAGCTAATAGAACAAGCGGGTAGATGTTCATACACAAAGATGGGTGTGTTCTTGGCCGGCATAAAACAAGGCGTGGGTTTCCCAAAATGATATACATTCGATGCTACCCACAAGATTGGGGAATTTCAGGTATGAAGTGGATTTCTCAAAAAGGAAGAAAGAAAAAAAATATATATAATAAAATAATGTGTATAACTATATATATATAATGTCTATAATTATATATATATAATTCTATAATTATATATATATATATATATATATATATAT